CACTATGTACAATGAATATATGTCAGTAAAAATGAGAGAGAGAGGAGAGAGAGAGAGAGAGAGAGAGAGAGAGAGAGAGAGAGAGAGCTATCATTTACCCACTCAATGTTTAGTAACACTTTAATTGGAAGGCCAAGACAACTAGGAAACTTAGAAACCTCACTCAGAAGTCATGTCTGTCTAGATCCAGCATTAAGATAGTAATACAGCCAGGTGTGGTGGTGCATGCCTTTAATCCCAATACTCAGGAGGCAGAGGCTGGCAGATCTCTGTGAGTTCAAGGCCAGTCTGGTCTACATAGTGGGTTCCAGGACAGCTGGGGCTATAGGAAAATCCTGCCTAAAAAAGACCAAAAAAAAAGAAAAAGAAAAAGTAATGCAGATGGCAAGGACAGTATCAAAAGGAAGCAACTACATATAATACTTGGGAATTGTTTCAATGCATACTCCAACAGTTAGTTCTTAAGGAAATTCCAGTGAGTGACATGAGTGTGTGCTTTGTGACTACCTCCCCTTAGAACCCCTAAATTCCTGCTTAGAACACCTGCAAGACCCACCTCTGGGCATGTGTGTAGGAGAGTTTCCAGAGAGGCTGAAATGAAGGTGGCATCATCCCATGGACTAAAGTCCCAGACTGAAGAAAAAGGGAAAAAACAAGGAAGGCAGCTGAGCACAAGCATTCACCTCCCTCTGCTTTCTGACTGTGGTTCCAACGTGCGCAGCTGCCTCACATGTTCTCCTCTATGACTTCCCTGCCACAATAGAATGGATTCCCTCAATGAGCCCAAGTAAACCTTTCTGTAAAGACATCAGTAGTAGCCAAACTGATAAGCTAGAAGACCAAGGGAAGAAGCTTACTTGGAAAAAAAAATCCAAAGGAATTATGAATGAAGACATAAAGCTGGAAAATGGAGAAGATAATATTTAAACACCAGAATTCTTTAAAAAGAAAAACGTACAAATAGAAACACAAATGATTATTTTTTGGTCTTTTTGAGACAAGGTCTCCCTGTAGCCACACCTGGCCTTGATTCGCTATGTAGACCAGGCTGGCCTCAAACTCATAGAGATCTGCCTGCCTCTGCCTCCCAAGTGCTGGGATTAAAGGCGTGCGCCACCATGCCCAGCTACAAATGATTTTCTTAAATAATAGATGAAAATTCCTTACTTGAAGATAGACTTAAGTTTTCAGATTGGAAAGGTACATGGAGCATCAAAATTATCAACATGGGGCTGGGGATGAAGTTCAGTGCTGGAGTACATGCTTAGCACACAAGAACCTGGGTTCCATTCCCAACACTGAAAAAAAAAGGTTAACAATAAAAAAGATATATTCAAGACATATCCTGATGAGATTTCTGAGCTCCATGAATAAAGAGAAAAGTTTCATAAGCTTCCAAACAGAAATCCTCAGAAAATGAAAAAGAAGCAGACTCTGAATACTTGGGAGAGAAGAAAAGCCACTGCAGGCTGAGCATCCCTCATCCAAAACACAGAAAATGAAAAAGAAGCAGACTCTGAATACTTGGGAGAGAAGAAAAGCCACTGCAGGCTGAGCATCCCTCATCCAAAACACTTGTGTTCAAGTGTCTCAGATTTGGGATTTTTAAAAATTTGGAATATTTACATACATATAAACAGTGAAGTATCTTGGGGGAGAGCCAAGGATATGGCTCAGCCAGTAGAGTAGTTGTACAAAAACCTGAGTTCTATCCCCAATACCATGTAAAACAGAGCATGGTGGTACACACCTATAATTCCAATACTTAGGAGGTAAAGGCAGGAAGACTAGAGTTCGAGGCCAGTCTGGATTACTTAATACTCAGTCTCTTCGGCTGGAGAGATGGCTCAGCGGTTAAGAATACTGATTGTTCTTGGAGAAGACCTGGATTCGAATCCTAGCACCCACATGGCAGCTAACAACTGTCCGTAACTCCAGTTCTAGGGGATCCGACAACCTCTTCTGTGTTCCTTGGGCATTGCACGACACAGGTGCACTTAACCTATGTGCAGGCAATATACATATACACATAAAATAAAAATAATAAAATATTTTTTAAAAAAAGGACTCAGTCTCCAAAAAAGAAATGTCAGCCAGGCATGGTGACACACAACTTTAATCCCAGGAGGAGGCAGAGGCAGGTACATCTCTGTGAGTTCCAGGCCAGCCTGGTCTACATAGAGTTCTAGGCCAGCTGGGGCTACAGGGAGATCCTGTCTCAAAAAGACTGAAAATAATAAATAAATAAATAAATAAATAAAGTTTTGGGATAAAAAGCCCAAGTTACACTATGAAATTCATTTATGCTTCACACATACACACCTTAGACACAGAACTTAAAGGTAATTTTAAATATTTTCAATAAGTCTGTGCATGTAACAAAATTTCACTGTGCAATTTTCTACTTGTGCAATCACCTGAGTACTCAAAGTTTCAATTTTTTGAGCATATCATATTAAGGATGTTCAATAAGTTCTGAGGAAAGGAACTATGTTCCAAGTCAAATTCCTCTATCTGAATACTGTTATGTAAAAGCAAAAAGAAAGGCACTGTCACAAAGTCACCAGTGATTCCTTTCTGGAAAAATCACTGGCAAAAATTAACAATTAAGAGAGCTGGGTGTGGTGGTGCACACCTTTAACCCCAGAGGCAGAGGCAGGCAGATCTCCGAGAGGTTGGGGCCAGTCTGGTCTACAATAGCCAGTTCCAGACTAGCTGGGGCTACAGGGAAACCCTGTCTCAAAAATTAAAAAAAAAAAATTAAAAATAAAAAAAAAGGAGGAAGGAAGAAGAAAAAACAGCAAAATAGATCTCAAGTCTCCTTTTCTTCCAAAGTACTCAGTTGGAACAAAAAGATGTGAGAGTTAGAATGAACCAGGTCTAGGGACTTTTACTCAACAATTTCCTTCTCCCTATCTTCCCTGGAAATGGAGCCTTAGCACTGGATACAGGACTTCAATGAAAGAAAAGTCATCACGCAGAGAGGGAGAAAGCACCTGCTTCAAAGGGGAGAGGGAAGGTAAGAGTTATGTAGCAAATTCTAATCCTGACTCAACAACCACCTAGCTATATGATTTTGAAGAATTGTTTTTGTTTTAGAGATGGGTCTGAGTATGTTGTTCAAGCTGGTCTGAAACTCAAATTCAATCCTCCTGGTTCAGACTCCCTAATAGCTGGAGCTAGAGGTGTACACCATCACACACATGACTAAAGAATGTTTTGAAAATTTCCTGAACCCCAATGCCTGCATATACTAACAACTAAGCCTAAAATCAACTCTCACAGTAGTATCTAACACAGATCTCTCCCCTAGTTCATCTCTTATATTCTAGTCTCCCCACTCAAATGTCCCAGTATAACCAACCCCTGGTTAAACTGACTTCATGTGTCCCCTGCTTCCCTGGCATCAAACTTCTCCTGATGTCTTCTAAACTCCCAGACAGGTGATGAAAATTCTCCTAAGCCTTCAAGCCCAAGCTCCTGCCCTCAGACTTGGCTCTCCCAAGAATGACGTTTCATTTGAAAAATTTTCAAAAGATACATGTTCTTTCTAGTACATGGATCACTTGTCTAGCACACATAACACCCTAGGTATCCCCAGCACCACCAGAAAAAATGATCTGAATACTCTGTGAAATATCCCAAGCAAGGTGTATTGGCTCACATTTGCAATCCAAACACATAGGAGACAGAAGAGGGAGGATTGCTGCAAGTCCAAGGCTCAGACTGGTTTACACAGTGAGTTCCAGGGCTGCTGGGCTACAGAGTAAGAACCTATCTCAATAAAAAAAAATAAGAGGGAGATGAGGAAAAGGCAAAAAGAACATTATCCACACGGTCTGTTTTAGTTAAGAAAAAATTAAAGGGCAGAAGAAGTCAATTTGGTGGCAGCATGGTGCATCCACCATTTAAGAAGCTAAATTCCGCCGGGCATGGTGGCACTCGCCTTTAATCCCAGCACTTGGGAGGCAGAGGCAGGCAGATCTCTGTAAATTCAAGGCCAGCCTGGTCTACATAGTGAGTTCCAGGACAGCTGGAGCTACAGGGAGACCCTGTCTCAAAAAGACAAAGAAAAAAAAAAGTAGAAGCTAAATTCCAAATAGCTCCTCTTTGGAGGGGAGAATGTTTAGAAACAGGATTTTGCTATATAGTCTAAACTTGCTGGAATTCACTAGTTAAGACTGGCCTTGAACTTGCAGCAATTCTCCTTCCTCTGTCTCCTAAGTGCTGGGATTCCAGGCATGCACCACCATGCCCAGTGAGATTTAATTTTTTAATCCAATACTTACAACACAGTTGGCTCTACATTATCTATGGGTGATGCATCCATAGACTCAACCAACTGTGAAACAAAAAAATCTGTATCTAGGGACTAGAGAGATAGCTCAGTGGTTAAGAGCGCTGGTTGTTCTTGCAGAAGAACCAGGTTCAAATCCCAGCACCCACATGGCAGCTAACAACTGTCCGTAACTCCAGCCCCAGGGGATCCGACAGCCTCTTCTGACCTCCTCGGGCATTGCACAACATAGGTTCACTTACCTACATGCAGGCAATAGAGGCATACACATAAAATAAAATAAATAAATAAATAAATTTTTTTTAAAGTTAAAAAAAAAATGTTGTGAGCTGAGCATGACAACAAATGCCTGCAATGTCAACATTTGGGAGACTGAAGCAGAATGACAAAGGGTTTGAGGTTTCCGTAGACTACTCAGAGAGCTTGCAAGTTTGTATTTCTAACACAAAAAAGCAGCAATCAGATGTGGTGGCAATTGCCTGTAATCCCAGTACTTGGGAGGTACTGGCAGGAGTATCAGGAGTTCAAGGCTACCTCAGCTAGATAGCAAGTTCATGACCAGCCTCAAAGACCTGCCTGAGACGTGACTTGTCTGAGAGGCTTCATGGCTCCTGACTTTTATAAGCCTCAAAATAAATAAATAAATAAATAAATAAATAATAACCAAAAAGCAAGGTTGTCGTGAAATTCTATGAATACTGAACATATAGGATTGAAAGGAGGTGGTAGAGGAAACTCACTGTGCTTCATCATGCTGATCAGACTGGCTTGAAAAGAATGTTCAAATCGGGCAATTTCCTGTCAGAATGGGAGAAGCAGAAATTTGAAAACAGATCTGGGAACCACAATGCCCCTTTAAGCTCTCTAAAGGCAAAAGAAAATGTCACAGAACACGACCAGGAAGTCCTAACAATTAGAAAAATTGGGAGGATGGGTTATAGCAGAGCTAGAGCCTGATATGGCTCAGTATACACAGGGAAAGCAGTATTATAACACTCAGAGAGAAGACCAAAACTTCTCTTTCTAATGGACTCCATGCACCCAATACACTGAACAGGGTCCTTGTAGTGTCATATCGCAGGTAAAAGACTAGTGCTAAACCCCTCCATGCTGGAAAGAGGAAGAAATAGCATATTTCTTCATAAGGCAGAATAACACAGTGTTTGGGGTTTTTTTTTCTTTTCCCAAATATAGGGTTCTGTTCTGTATATCATCTACCCTAAGAGAGGCAGTAGGGGCTAGATCCCCGGAGTCTACCCTGGAGAAATAGGTCCTCCAAGAGGAACTCTTACTTGTATGTATATAGATTGAAGTCAGTGCAAAATCTGAGGAGGGGAGGGATCTGTGCCTGCATATGTGGCTGGAGTCTGCACCTTGGCAATAAGGGAAAGGATTTGACATTTTCCCTCTATTCTGGGGTAAACAGATTGAGGAACCCCACAGTGGTTATGAGCATCTCTGCTACACAGATGAACACTGGTCCATGTTCCTCTTAATTGACAGGAAGGGAAGAGCCTAGGTCTCTTTACCCTAGAGATGAATGTGGGCAAGATTGCTATGCTTGCTTCCATGAGTGGCATGAGGGAAACTGCAGCTTTTGATGAGTAAAGTCCACACGCCTTTGCCTAATGGAAATTATTCTGAATGTTTCCATGGGTGGTAGATTTATGTGTAGATTTTGTGGGGGTTGAAGTCAGCAGTACATTAATATTGATGGGAATAGGGTCTCTGGTTCTCTATATGGGTAAGGAATAGGGAGGCCTAAGGCAATGCAATTATAAACTCAATGGATCTGCTCCTACACTGTGGGGGGTGGGTATGCATCTATTATTTTACCCAAGGTGAGGAAAAACAAATTTGAGCTTTTGGATAAGGAAGGATTTGATATGTACTGACTTGTCGGGTGATATCAGTGGCTGGCAAGGTTTAAGGAGGAGGGGGTGATCTGCATCTCTACTGCTTTGAGGGTTCTTGCTTGGCTAATTTGGTGATTATAAATCACTAGAGGGTAGATTCTGTCTACCTCAAAAGAAGGGAGAATAAATATCTCTCTACCCTAGGGTCTTCTTGAGGCACAGATCTTTCTCTCAAAGGATTACAATCTGATCTCATGACCTGTGAGCCAGTTTGGGGGTGGGCCTTTACAAATTCAGTAAAAGAGCCTTTTCTATGGGGTAAGGACGGTCTAATACTCCACAGTGAGGACTCACTAGTCCAGAGGGAGGGGTAAATCTGTGTCCTTTTCCATAGGCCTGTACCTCTAACCATTTCAGGAAGAGGTGATATACAGGCTAGGTGGTGTGAATTTGTTACTCTGCAGGAGTTAGGGAGACACTGGAAGTGCTCTAGGTCTCTGCACCAGAAAGAGGGCTTCCCTCTCTCTGGATATTACACATTTCTGAGCTCCTCTACACGAAGTGGCTGAGGAGATGACTTGATGCAGATCTGTGTCTTAATAGGTCACTAGAAGTCTGTACTGCTCCAGACTTTCATTGGAGATTATATTCTTGTAGGCCAGGGACGATTTTATCCTATCTTTGGTTTGACACCTGTCAACACTGGGAATGCAATTATAAACTCAATGCAAAGACGGGCGTGGTGGTGCACGCCTTTGATCCAGCAGAGGCTGGCGGATCTCTGTGAGTTCAAGGCCACCCTGGTCTACATAGCGAGTTCCAGGCCAGCTGGAGCTACAGAGAGACCCTGTCTCAAAAAATGCCACAAGTAAAAAATAAAAATGATCTCAAAGCCATCTGTCCCTACATGGGGGGAGGGGGGCGTCTGTCTACAGAAGAGTAAAGGCAGTAATATAAAATGAAATCTAACTATTCTGAGAGACGAAAGGCAATGATGTTACGTCACAACTAAGGTCTGTATCTTTCTACATAGTCCAGGGTGTGCCTTTGTGGCCTCTTTCTGGGGCCGCCAGAATGTAGTTCCGTGCATCTCCACGAGTGGAGCTATCCGTGTCCCTCCTCCAGGCTCTTCTACCCCGGAAGGAAGCCAGCAGTTCACTTCTCTATTCAAGGCTAGCGAGCACCTCTGATTTCACCTAAAAAAACCAATCCTCACCACGCGGCCGCCTGTGTGATCGCTCACCAAGAGAAAAGACGAGGGTAATCTCTTACCTACAGTTCCAGCAGGAACATCCGAGAGCAGCAAAGAGCACGAAGTGGGCAGAGTAGGCGCTCAGCACCAGCACTCCCGGGCTCCGGCTTCCGGATCCCAGCCTCGCGACAAGCTCCCCCGGCTGCGCGAGGGCGGGGTTTGGGATTGTCGGCTGCGGCATGCGATCCCGCCCTAGCTCCCATGCCAGCCCCGCCCCCGACCGCCTGCTGGGTAAAGAGATGGTGAAGGAGTTGGGGGAGCCACGGTGGTGAGGACAGTGAGTCTGAATATGGCCTCAAAACCTGTTCGTAAGACGAAATCTTGTGTGCGGCCTCCTGGCTTAAATATGCATATTTCCCAGTTTCAGTGACCGAGTTATCACTGGTGGCGTTAGGGGAGGGCGGGGCGCATTTTTTGTCTGCCTGGAAGATGGCGACAAGCAGGGCGTGAGAAAATGGCCGCTGGGATCACGTGTCCGCCAGGCTGTGCTTTCCGCACCTGAAGTGCGTTGGTTAGCGAGCCCAAGCTTCCACGGGGAAGCAAACGGTATTCTCTTCCAACACTTTCTGCAGAAGCCCTTTCTGCATAGCTAGGCCCAGCAAGACTAAGAGCCAGAGCAAGAAACCAAAACTATTAGAATTTTCACGCTCTTTTACCTTCTTTTACGCTCTTCACCCTTCTGTGAATCCTTTGTCTGCAGACAAGAATAAATTTATGTCTCTGAAGTGGGGACAAGGAAGGGTTTCCTTGGAAAGCATCTCAAGAGACTTCTGATTTGCCTGGGAAGTGAGATGTCCCTCCAAAAACGTAACTATTAATCTGAAAATTCCTGATAGTTAATTGCAGCCTCTCCTCCCTCTCCAGCCTAAACCTGGGGGAGGAGTTAGGTGAGGCTACACCTAGAGCGTTTATTTCTTCACTTTCAGCACACTCGGCTGAAAATAACTCCTTTTAACGCTGTTAAACCGGGCACGGTTGCACATGCTTTTAATCCCAGCAGAGGCAGGGGGATCTCTTTGAGTTCCAGGCCAGCCCAAGTCTACATACTGAGTTCCAGGCTAGCCAGTGCTACATAGTGAAGCCCTGTCTTGAAAAAGAAAAAAACAATAACTCCTTTTTGCTCTCCTTCCCATTACAGCACAGACCTCACTGCTACCGATATTCATGGAGTGCTTCCAACATTTTGTCCTAGACACTAGATTGCTCTGAATCCCGAATTAGCCCCATCTTCACCTTTCCCCTGCATTTGCAGGTTCTATTTCTCTAAGATCTAACTCCTGTCACTTCTGTTACATTTCTATGAGATTGTTTTTATGACATTTTGCCTGAATCCCAGTTGACTTAAAGTCCCAGAGTACCTTGTCCATACCTATCTAGGAGTCACACAGTACTATACTGTAGTTCTTGATGTGCCTTTATTGCTACTGAAGAGAAAACTCAGAGCAAGGAGAGTTATGTCTTTTGAGCCCTCAAATAGACCCAGCACAAGATGGTACAAGTTGCAGCTTCAAGCAAATCTGTTAAGTGAAATTAAGGGTTGTATCACAGATCAATAGGAAGTTTCGTAGATAGCACTGCAAAATTTGGTTCACAATAAAGAGAAAAATAGAAACTTAAGATAGCACATGCCTGTAATCCCTCTAGGGAGTCTGAGGCAGGCCACTCATGAATTCAAGACCAGCCTACTCTGCACTGCCACAGTGACTTTAAAAAATTATTGTTTTGAGGGGCTGGAGAGATGGCCCAGCAGTGAAGAGCACTTACTGCTCTTACAGAGGACCCAGGTTTGATTCCCAGCACCCACATGGTGGCTATGAGCCATCCTTAACTCCAGTTCCTGGGGAATCCGCTGCATTGCACGGGTGCACTCACATACATACAGGCAATACACTCATACACATAAAAATAATAAAATATTTTTTAAAAATTATTGTTTTTCGGTCAGGGTGTCCTGTAGCCCAGACTGGCCTCAGAATCTGTGTAGCCAAGAATGAGCTTAAACTCCTGCCCAAACTTCTGAAGTGCTAAGATTATAAATGTGCACCACCACACTCAATTTAAATTTATACCATACAAGCCAGGTGTGGTGGTGCACGCCTTTAATCCCAGCACTCAGGAAGCAGAGGCAGGTGGATCTCTGGGAGTTCAAGGCCAGCCTGGTCTACATAGAGAATCCAGGCCAGCTGTGACTTACAGGGAGACCCTGTCTCAAAAAGACCAAAAATTATACCATACCCTGGATTCAAGCAAGTGTCTCATGCATTATAGGCAAACTATCAGCAGAGCTACATTTCCAGCCCAATCAAACGTCTAAAATGGCTGTTTACAGGAGGAACATGAAATCACAAAGAACAAATGAAGGTGAATTTATGAAACAACAAAAACCTTTCATTAAATCTTTCACATGACTCATCAGATACATGGAATGCACAGAAATGCATAAGGAAAAAATACTACTGATAATCTCATTTTCTTCATCAGTAGGTCACAAAATGTGGAACTTGAATTAGCAGCAGTCATCACTTGGGAACTTGTTAGAAATGCAAATTCCTGAGTCTTTACTTTTTAGTATTTTGTTTTATTTTATGTGTATGCGTGTATTGCCTGCATGTAGGTAAGTGCAACCGTGTCGTGCAATGCCCAGGGAGGACAGAAGAGACTATTGGATCCTCTGGAACTAGAGTTATGGACAGTTGTTAGCTGCCATGTGGGTGCTGGGATTCGATCACAGGTCTTTTGCAAGAATAGTCAGTGTTCCCAACTGGGGATCCATCTCTCCAGCCCCAGAAATGCAAATTCCTGAGTCTCTTAAATCAGACTTTCTGAATCAAAATTCTGGCCATGGGACACAGTGATTAATATTTTAACAAGCCCTCTAAAGACTATATTGTTGGTAAAAATTAGAAAATGACTGGTCTAGGGGCTAGAGAAATGGTTCAGTGGTTAAGAACAGTGGTTGTTCTTGCAGAAGACCCAGGTTGGAATCCCAGCACCCACATGGCAGCTAACGACTGTCTGTAACTCCAGTCCCAGGGGAATCCGACAGCCTCATCTGACCTCTGCAGATATTGCATGACATGGGTGCTCTTACCTACATGCAGGCAATACATACATACACATAAAAAAATAAAAATAATAATTTGGGGGGAGGTTGAGACAGTCTCCCTGAGGCCCCAGCTGTCCTGGAAGTCACTATGTAGACCAGGCTGGCCTTGAACTTGCAGAGATTGGCCTGCCTCTGCCTCCCAAGT